GATAGGTACTTTCCACACAAAAGTCATTGTAAACTATTCTAATCTATGGCTGTAGCATGTCCTATTACTATTATTAGACATGTTTTTAGTTTTCTGCTATTAACATCACTGTATTGAAGTAACTAGCACATGAATCTTTGCAATCTGTATTATTTTGGACATTTTTTTCTTAGGTGGAAATCCCTAAAAATAGGCTTTCTAGGTCAAAATGTATAGCCTTTGAAACTTGCTAGCAAATTATCTTCTAGAAATGCTGTATAAATAGTGATCATTCACACCAGAAATAATAAAAATTCACATTTCCAAATGCCTTTGTTGGAACTTCTTTATTACATGGAATTTTTATAAGTTAAAAAGAATCTATAGCTTTATATGAACTTGTGGCTTCATAAAAATGATTTGTCTTTTTTTTTAGGATCAATTTTTTAACACTTTGTTGTCCATCCCTTTTACTTTTGTCTTAAAAACGATAGGATTTTCACATTAGAATACCTCATATTGTCTTCTATTTTCACAAAGATGGAAACAAACCTGGTTGATTGATGGTCTGCTCACATCTTTTATGGGTTTGTTTCCTTGAATCTGTTTCAACCTGTTTTCTCTGAAAAGACACTCTGATTTTAGTCTTACAAAGAAAGTGTTGGTTTTATGAGTGTTTGTCTTCCCAGTGGACAGACCATGGGGCACTATCTTAAAGCAGAATTATAATGTGACCTTACTTATGTCTCCTGATGTTTTATGAACAGACTTTTGTATGGACATCACTTTTTTTTCAGTTATCAAAAGACTTCTGTAAGTAAGCCAGTTGTAGCAAGGTTGAAACTTCTAGATTCATCCTCCATGAAATACTCCCCTTGCATTCCTGAGGCACAGTTTAATTTTAGTTGCCTCCACCCTTATTTGTCTTAAGCAAAGGTAAACAAGATACCTGTTCTCATGATTTCTGGCCCATAGAGGTCCCATGGCATATGCATTTTTTTTAGATAGCCTTAGTACTAGATCAACAAGGACATTTGTCAATTTTAATAATACTACTCTTAGTTTATAATACATGCCAGGGACACTTTCTGTGGCACTTTTCCATGATTTCTCATATAGCACAGCATGGTTTATTTTTCAAGACTTTCCACTTAAATTAGATGGTGACTCAATTTATTTCTGTTCTATGCTACCTACAATGTCTGGCACATGTATGGTCTTTCATGGAGAATCCACTTGGCCTCTTTAAGCCAGTTAGCCTGTCTTTACCATGAGCATAAATATTACTTTCCTCATAGTGTTACAGTGAAAAAGCTAGTTAATAGATATAAAGCACTTGGTGACTGGCAAGTAGTAAACCATTACTATAATGGGAATCTAAACATCTTGAAATCATATTGTTATCACAAGTGCCTGGCTATCCACTGGTTCTGTATTCCACTCTTTGAGGATTGACAATTACTTTGTGCCTTTTTTTCCCCCCCAGATTTTAAGGGTAATTCAACTTATAATTGAAGTGATTGATATTGTAAGTGATAAAAATGACGTATTAAAATATTTCTGGATTGGTTAAAACCTTGAGTGTCTTTATGTTCTCTTTGACTTTTCCTAGGTCTTTTTGCTAGTACACTGAAGTTCCTACATATATGTAAAACAGATTGCACACGTTTTTTTTTGTTTTGTTTTGTTTTTTTTTCACTTGCTCATCTCCAGAAGAGGTTGTAGAAACCACCACTCTGTCTTGGTTCCACAGTTTAATTAAAGGTGTGAGAAATGGTAATTCTGTCTTCTCCTCCCGTGCTTCACCCACCCCCTACTACCTCTTATTTATGTCAGGAAAGATATAATAGCAAGTTGAAATACTTTTTGGAACATTTAGATTCTTAATGTGACAGTTGTAAGACAACTTGTTACTATGATTAAAGAAATATGTCTGATTTTCGATTTTAACTCCCCCCCCCCATTCGCCCCAACCCCGACTTCCTTCCCACCTTGGAATGTTTGGCACAGCTAATCAAAGAAAGGGTATCTGTTGTACAAAGTTTTTACATATAAGTTAACCAAATAATATTCTTATTTGCTATTACTACCCCTAATGAAGGTTCCATGAAAGCTTGTTTGTGTCAGGTTTACCACAAGTGAATTGTGTGAGGAACTCTGATCCATAAAAGCACCATGGAAATGGAGTTTTCCTTTTGCAAAATGTTTGCCTACTGTGCTATATAACACAACAATTAATGATTGTATTTTATTTTTATTTTAAAAATTGTTAGTTTTTTTCTTGCATTACTGTAATCCATAGAGTTCTCCTACCCCCTCATCACACATGAACCATCACTATATTCCCTTGTATTCTTTCTTCCCCTGTTTTGTCCCCTCCCTCCACCTTTGTTGTATGCCTTTGTTGTCTGGTCAGCTTGCTAGCTTTGACATTGTCTTAAACTTTCTGCTTGGTTTCTCTATAATTTACATGAGTGAGACCACCCAGTAGTTATCTTTTTCCTTGTGACCAATTTCAGCTAGCATAATTCCTTCTAGTTCCTTCCATGTTGTCACAAATGGCTTGAGTTTGTCTATTTGATTGCTGAGTAACATTCCATTGTATAAATATACCGTAGCTTTTTGATTCATTCATCTGTTTTAGGGGATTTAGGTTGTTTCCAAATCTTGGCAACTGTGAATAGTGCTTCAATAAACATAGGATTGCAGGTTTCTTTTTATAGTAGTGCATTTTTGTCACTTGGGTATATTCCTCAGAGTGGAATTGCTGGGTCATAAGCAAGCTCTACTTTAGTGTTCTGAGTAACCTCCACACAGCTTTCCATAGTGGCTGGACCAGTTTACATTCCCAGCAGCAGTATAGGAGGGTTCCTTTATCTCCTTGTGTTCTTCAGAGTTTGTTAAAAGACAACAATTTTAAAGTTTGTGAGTTTTTATAATTTTCTCTGGAAAATTGTAGGTGTTTAAAGGAACCGTTATCTACATGTACCTTAAATATTTGAACAAGTCTAATTTTTTGCTTGTTTTATGTTAATATAGCATGAAGGTATCTTATCTGGCCAATTTATTTACTTTCTATACTTTTTATACAAGACATGTTTCTCTTTACATTTTCATACAGAGAAAAACATACCATTTTTAAGTCAGTAACTCAGTATAATTTTTTTTTTTAACATTGGATATGACAGGTCATATCCCTTCTATGTGTTGAATATTTGAAACTGATTTGGAAAAGAAAAATGCACTTATTAACTACTTTCACAGAAACTGTAATGAAACTTAACATAGCTTGCAAATTTATAGTTCACCATAAATTAATAGCTTTCTAATACTATCGAAAGTTATCCTTGTTCTTTTTAAACAGCGACACTCTGTTAACCTTAATCAGAGCCTGACGTATGTTTCTTCTAAATGACTTCTGATGTGGTTCTCTTTGGTTCTCTGTGGTTTCCTGTTTTTTTCAAACATAGAGAAAAACCTTTGATCTATTCAGTCTCACATTTTTTTCTTCTAATGGTATATCAAACCTAAAATTTCTCATAAATATAACATTGTTTTATAAACCTGTCTATTCATTTATTCATCTTGCCACAAACCATTCCTCTGGAATTCTTCCAGCCCTTGTGCTCGATCAAGTAGCACTTCCTTGAGTATCTCGCCCCCACCTCGTATTCTTCAGCATTATACATCTTATTTCTACACTGAAAGTGCTTCCTTATAGAACTCAGATAGTATCTTTTAGTAGTACCAAACCATTGTGTTTCTCCCCAGTGCCTCACCATAGCAATTAATAGATACAGTAGACCAGTTCTCAAAGTGGTATCTCCAGACCGGCAGCATCACTGCCACCTGGTATGCAAACCTAAACTTGCTTGTAAAGATAGAATTGTACTTTAAGCCTGTTATGTTAGCTCTGTAAATTCGTGGGTCCCTCCCCAGCCAGATTCAATCAGGATGTCTTGCATTTTGAATCAGCAACATTTGTTGCTGATTCTCAAATTTGACAATTGCAATAAGTATGAAAGGTGTACATTTATCTCGATGCTTCTTTGAGAGATCTTATATAGAATGGGGCCAAGCCAAATTTAGTCTATTCCACCTTAGCCTTTTACTTCTCATACTTGTAAAGAAAATCCAAAGTTTGAAAAACTTGCAGTTTTAGACAGGATGTATAGCTTTATGTTAATCTATTCTGAAAACCATAGCTTAAAATTTTAAAATTATGAATGACTTCTTCCACTCATTCCCTTGGCATTCCAAAAAGAGGAGAATTGAGAATGTACGAGTTTTATTCTTGATGAGGTAGAAGTGGATAAATGTTGAAAATTTGATGAGGTGGGTTGGAAGACAGTTTTCTCTGGATGCCATTCTATGCTTTTCGAAATTTTTGAACTATATAAATGCATTACCTAAAAATTTCGATGCATTATATATAATAAAAATACATTAATGAATTAGTGTTAAATAAATTCCCTCCATGTTTTTGTCAATGTGGTTGTTTAAAAAAATATTAAAATTTCCCTTTGCATAAATTTTAAAGGCTTTTTCACCTCTGCAAAATGCCCAGGTGGTGACCAAAGTGTCTTGATGATTTCTCACCTGAGCTTTCTCAAAATGGAGGATTCATATTATTCTTCTGTATAATGAACAAAAATTCCAACTATTAGATGAACCCATCATCCTTAATAATTCTAACAAAATAAAGAGGGAGAATTTAACTGGGCTCAAAGTTTAACAATTTTGCATATTAAATGAAGAGCTTAGACAAGAGAACATTTTTAAGAACATTACCTTCTTCCATTGTAATTAGAAATACCTTGATAGGCCTGGACACTTAAAAGAAAAATTGACTAAGATTTTTGTCACATATTTAGCATATGGAAAATAATCTAATTAGTAAAATCCTTAACTATGTACTTTGATACACATGTAATTATTTCACTGTTTGAATTATACTGTTTCAGTGGAAGTTATACCTTAAAATGACACTCTCTTCAATTACCCAATTTTTTCTTACACAGAACTATCGTACCATGGAAAGTGTTTAGACAGTGCCTTCATGAAGTCCATCAAATCAGCTCCGGCCTGGAAGCAATGGCTCTAAAATCAACAATTGATTTAACTTGTAATGATTACATTTCAGTTTTTGAATTTGATATCTTTACCAGGCTGTTTCAGGTAAGCCTTCTACTTGCTAAGTAGACCTCCTTCCTTCCTCCCCATCCTCACTAATGTGTCTGTGTAGTATTTGGATAAACTTGTATGTATACATGTGCTGTGTGGGAGGGGTGGGGGGGTGAAGACACAATGCATGTTAAATAGTCTCCATCTGGTAATCTGCAATTTAAAAGCAAGCCATTGGCATAAATTTTTTTTTTTGGTCTTGGCTTTAAATTTTAGAATGAGTCATATGACTCAGGTTTGGAGTTTGTATGCAGGTATAATCTGATGAAAGCTGGATGTTACTCTGCTCTTTTAGTTATTCTCGATGCAATTACTATAAACATGAAGTTTGAAATTTGTTTTTTGAATTTGGCTCTGTCAACTAAGTTGTATACCTCTGGAATTCGGTCCCAGTAGTCACAAAATGAAAGTGTTCCACTATGTGAGACTTTCTGCCCCCTGGCCTATCAGACAGTGAGGTAAATTGATCATGAACCAGGCTATACTCTGACACTTCTTTTTGGTTAGCAGAATAAAAATTTATTCTGTCTAAAACATGCTTTAGACAAATGTTAGAGTGTAATACTGGTTTTCATTTATCCAGTGTTAGAATAATTTTGCTTCTCTGATTTATGACTGCTTAACACTGGCCTGAAAGGATAGTGTGACTGATTTATTTAAGAAAAACATTGCATGGGATCAATTTTTAATTTTTGAAAGAACCCATTAACAGTAAGCAAATTTACTCTTTTCAACAATACTTACAGAATTCACTTTATTACAATTTTAATATCCTAATACTACCTATATAGAATCAGAAATTATATAAAAGACTACAGGAAGTATGTATGTTCTTGCTTATTTTCAGTTTACAATATTTTCATGATTATTTCTTTATTTCTTTGGTATATTTAAGTTGTCTGTTTTCTTCATTTTTTTTTAGATTTATTTATTTATGCATACAGAATTGGGGGTACAGGCCAGAGGTGCAGGGGTCGTGAGAGGATTCACCAGAGACAAAGAGGGGAGCAGAACAGGCAGGTCACTGAAGTACACTGGTGAAGGGAGCAGCTAGCAGGTCAGGAGAGGTCTGCAGTGCCATGAGGATCACCTCCAGGTTGGGGATCGAACTCATGCTAAAGTGGCTTTAGCTTCTCAGTCCTGTGCTTTAATATGCTACATCACCAGGGAGGGCCTTCTTCTGTGTTTTTTTTTTTTTTTTTAAAGATTTATTTATTTATTCATACAGAACTGGGGTACAGGCCAGAGGCTCAGGGGCGGTGAGAGGCTTCACCAGAGACAGAGTGGGGAGCAGAACAGGCAGATCGATGAAGTACACTGCTGAGGGAAGCAGCGGGCGGGTCAGGAGAGGTCTGGCTCGCCATGTGGTCTCCTCCGGGGCAGACGGCAGGCGGGAATCGAACTCATGCGGAAGTGGCTTCAGATTCTCAGTGCTGTGCTTTAACCCGCTGCGCCACCAGGGAGGGCCTCTTCTGTGTTTTTAAGATACATTTCAGAAGAAAATTAGCTTATGCTGATCATTTTATAATGGGACCTCTTCTTTCTTTAAAGATATCGACAATTTTACAAATAATTCATAAATTTATCCTGATACATAGTCTAAATAGTAGGAATTTTGCTTCTTCCCATCATAAAGGTAGAAAACAATGATCATTTTCATACATTAAGCTTAATTGTTCATTCTAGGAACCATGTAATTTTGTGAAGAGCAGCATAGTTTTTCAGAATGGATGTTAATACTAGAACATCTCAAGTTTTGATATGTTAAAGATATTAGGGCAAATTATAATTGGTTAAGTACTTACCCAATTTGTTTACCATGTTTTCATGTACATTGTTTCATTTCTAAAAATAAAAGTACAGTACAAATCTTAACACTCTGAGTTAAGATGTTTATGGTCACTGGGATGTGGAAGGAAAGAATCTTTTAAAGAAGAGCTCAATTGAAAAATTTTAGATAACATATTTATATTCTTACATTTGAGCCAAAAGAATGGTCTCTTTTGAAACACAATTATAGTAGTAGCAAAAGAATTAACATTATCCCCTTGTACTGGTGAGATTCTTCATTTCATTTGTTTCTAATATTCATGCTTGGAATAATCTCATATTTTGTCATAAAATATGGTAAATTTAGTTTGTTACAAAGAAAAGTGGATATATGAGCTTTCACTCATCTTTTATATTTATCCAGCTTTAAACATTGAGTAATGGTTTTGTTATAATCATATACTCCGTATGAAAAATGTGACTTTGTAAACACTGTAAGTGCATGAACATGTATTTGCTTGCAATCGTGATATTGGTAGTTAATGGTAGTAAGTTCTTCTGGCTCTAATTATTGGTCACGTAGCAAAGTGAGATCTGAAAATGGGTGAGGTCCACTCCAAGTCTAGTTCTGACAAAGAAGTAGCATGAAACTATGAGGAAGGCATTCAGGGGCTAGGAGATGAAGTTGTGTATTGTTGAATGGATCCTTATTTCTTATTTTTTCTTCTTTCCTGTGCCTTTAACCTTCTCTTTTTCCCAAGTAGTTCAGAGGTGCTATAATAGGAAGGTGTTAAAGTCTTGAAATGGAAAGAGAGATTTTGCTTTCCCATACCCTCTCTCCAAGACTGCTGTTCCCCTTCTTGTCTTGTTTTCTTCACTGCTGCAGAAGATTGTGTTGTTGAGAAATGGGGCAATCAGTTTGAGGGGTGGCAGATTAATGTTGAGTTGTTCTGTGGAATATAATCTATGTAATATCAGTGGAATAGGGAGCAAAAAAAGGACTGTCATCCTTTAAAGCGTATCTGGGCAAGCAAACCAGGACCTCTCTTGCAACATAAATTTCTAAGTCAGTAGATGACCATTCTTGAAAGAGGTAGAATTTTGGGAGAAGAGATGGATTTGTTTCTATAATTCACTTCATTAATTTCTATAATCATTTAAAAATTCCCAAATAATCTTATGTTGGCTTGGTGAGCAATTTCCTTAAGTCCAAAAAAAAGCTGCAAAAAATAATTCGTGTTCTTCATAGTGCATTGTTTTGTGCCTTTAATCCATTAGTTGGCAAATGCGTATAAACAATGACACATAACTACCACATGTTTCTGACTATTGGTTGCATTCACAAGAAAAATAGTACTCACACTGCTTTTTCTATTACATAAATATTTTTGCAGTTAGGAGCTGGCCTTCTGGATAGTGTACTAAGAAATAGTTGCTACATTCTGCAGCAGTTGGCTCAAAACACCAGTTTCTTCCCCCCACCCCAATGTATTTTGGTCTGTGCATTGGCTCTCAGTAAAGTTCAGCATTTTGTTAAACAAGTCTTCCATTAATTTATGTGGGCTTTAATGGAAGTGACCCAAATACTTGATATTATTTCCATCTTTGTCCTTTGTGGATGGAGAAACAGAAGACCCAAAATAAAACCTATACCTATTATAACACTTTTTCTCTCAATTTGCTAAAACATATGCTGATGATCTTCCACATACTATTTATGCAGCTTTTAGTCAGGGCTTAAGAAGAAAATTAAAAACATGTTTTGTTTTTTTCCAAGTGCAGAAACCTCTCAGAACAGTGTTTACTAGAGCGCCTTTCTGCCTAATTAGATATTTTAGTCTTATGAGGAAATCCCCTAAAGATTTTTCTTGTTATGGCTGAAAAGGTTAAAAAACTCTATTTCTAAATCATTCTTTGCTTTATTTTCAAATCTCAAGGGATATAATCCTTGAAGAATTCCACCTTGTAAATTTGAAACTCATAAATAATTAGGAAAAAGTCTCAAAACAAACAAAAGCATAAGTCCTGTCCCAGTCCACATATCAGAGAACTATTTCAACAGTTTGCACTGGGCTGCACAGAATTCCTGTATGTAAAAGATTTGAATTAACAATCTGGCACATCAGATAGAGTGATTTGCCAGTTCCTTGGAATAAATGTAACCTCAGCTTTAAAAATATGGCTGGATGATTCATTCACATGCTCCAGCAAAGTTGTCTGTCACCAGTTGTCTTTTTACTCTTGCCGTGGTAACTGGGAGAATCACTAATTAAATTAAAGGAGAATGCACTTATGTGCGTGTGCATGTGTTTTTGTGAAGTATATTTTTACACGACTCACTTTTACAATCATGCTAGAGTAAACCAATTGTGAATACAGTTATATGTAACTTTGGAAAGATAGGGAGTCTAGGAGCCATGCAGTAGCTGTTAGTCCACCTCTTAGTAAGTTTCTGGGTCTGTTACTAAGTTTAGGGCTTTATTTTAGGGAATTAATACTGCCATGTGCTGGTATTCCTTTGGCACAGGCAAGCAAGCTCCTTGTTCCTGTGTAGCAGATGGTTAATGGATAATCTTTGCCAAAGTGAGCCATTCCGTGATGTCACTAGGTACTCTATAAAGTGGGATGTGTAGCATTATAGTAGGGAACAAAACAGACACAAGAGGTAGGGAATGCGATGAGAGGTTTTAAATGTGATGAGTGGTTTAAATAGCTGTATGAGAGGCCTCACTGAGAAAGTGACTTTGAAGAGTGGAATTATGGCTATTTGGAGAATTCAGTCTGAGGAATCAGCAGATATGAAGACTCCTAGGTGAGAGAGCCCTTACGTTGAATCTAGTAGCTAAGACGCCAGCATGCCTGAAGAAGAGAGTGAAAGTGGGAGAGTCACAGCTGAGGACAGAAAGTTCTTGGGACCATCCCAGTAGAGACCATGTGGGCTAAACAAGGACTTTGGCTTTTACTTACACTTACGGGGTTTTGAGCAGAAAGTGATGTGTTTTATATTTCAAAATGATCACAAGTGCTGTATTGGGAATAGAATTTGTAAAGGAGAGATTACATATTTTTTCTTCTTGCTCTCAGTATTCTTCTTCCTAAATTATTAACTTTTCTAATCCTGTACTCCAAAGGAGAATAAGCTCATTGTATGTTAGATATAGTACTGTTAGATAATAAAGGATCAACTCAACTGCATAAATTATTACCTTTAAAAAATAAAGAATTCTCAATAAAATATAAAATAATGTGTTGGTATGTAATTGATATTCTAGATAATATCTTTCAATTTATTTACACTTTTAGCCTTGGGGCTCTATTTTACGGAATTGGAATTTCTTAGCTGTAACACACCCAGGTTACATGGCCTTTCTCACATATGATGAAGTTAAAGCACGACTACAGAAATACAGCACCAAACCTGGAAGGTAAGATGTTTTAGTGGTAATTTTATGTGCTATATCTAAATGTGAAAAGTCGTCTTAGACCTTAAACCACACTAATAATACTCAAAGGAGCAGGGATAGGAAAACAGGAGAATAGACCAGAATGGTACTTCATAATTGAATCCTTTAAATTGATACATTGTTCTTGTTCTGACACAGTATTCGGAAAGTGAAAGAGGATAGGGTACTATGTAATTTGATGAATTTAGAAATTCGTTAATTCTTTGAGTTCTGATCTTCAAATTGGAGTAGGATGTTTGCCCATTGATTATTTTGTGACACTTATGCTTGTGCATAAATTCATGTGTATTTGAATATTGTGTTATTGTCAAAATAGAGTATTTTAAAGACATTTGATTTGGTTTTATGATGAACACATGTACTGTGTAACATATACAAGTCCATTGTTTCAATTCAAATTCACACCTTTGAGACCTTTTTCCATGCTCTCCATGTTTTAGTTTTTGAATGAATTCATATTTTCTAGATGATGCAACTGAGATTCACAGAAGTTGGCTATTTGGTCAGCCCCTCTAGCATTAGTCAAGAAACCATACCTTATTAGTGACAATCTGGGGCTAGAAACTCTGACTAGTTCAGTGCAGTTTCCTCCCTCCCCATGTAGTAATGCACTGGGCAGACAGAGGCATTTGCGGTGTGCTGGGCACAGCAGTAATGGCATTGGAGACCTGACATGCACACACAAACGGTTCACTGGGAAAGGCCATTCTGTTGTCCACAAGTATACTCATTTCCATACAGGTACCATTTCATCTTTCATACAGGTACAGGAATTATTTTTAAAGGTTGTTTGTATCAAATTAAAAAAATGATTCGCAGGACAAAATAGTTATTTGCCCTTTAATGAGGTCGTTTTTTCAAGTACAAGTCAGTCTTCTTGGTCATGAAGAAAATGTCCATCTTTGTAATTTTTAACTGTTTAGTTGGCATATAAAATGAGATAAATATGTACAGAAAACAATCTGGCTTCTGTTGACATAACTTTAGGTTATGGATGGTAGATTCTTACTGTAATCATGAGATATGGTGAGATAAATTGCATGTTGACATTTGTTTTATTCGAATGAATCATTTGTTTTATTCAAAAGATTGTATAATTTTCCATAATTTTTATTTAGATTGGATTTTTATATAAAGCATCTTCTTTCTCTTAGGGTATTATTTGGAAGATTTCATATGGTTGGAATCAATCAAATTTAACATAGAAGTTACTTGGGAAATTATTTTATCCAATTTTATAAATCTGATAAGGATACTCTGTCCCTTATTTGCTTTGTTTTATTATTTTTAACCACATTATTTACCATTAAATAACTTTTAAATTACAAAGTAGCATATTGAATTCTACAATAGAGACTGGCAGCATTACTGTCTGAAGGAAACAAATTAAATTTTTACTTTCCAAAAGTGATTTACTTTTGAAATATTTTTGGAGAAGTCCTACCTTTTTCATACAGAGCCCCTCCTGATGGTGTTGACAATAAATTACTTGGCAGATTGCAACTTAAAAATTTTCTCAAATTCTAGAGGTATTTAAATGAAATCATTAGTGCTTCCCTTACAAATCAATTAAGTGAATAAGGGCAATGATGTCAAAGTAGAAGCTAGAAATTTCTACCAGTAATTCCAAATCTTTTATTTTAAAAAATCTAACAAAATTTGTTTCAAAGTTAACCTATATTTTGAATGTGATTAAGCTTTTCATTCTGTACTTCACAGCTACATTTTCCGGTTGAGCTGCACTAGACTGGGGCAGTGGGCCATCGGCTACGTGACAGGGGATGGCAATATCCTGCAGACCATACCACATAATAAGCCCTTATTCCAAGCCCTGATTGATGGGAGCAGGGAAGGATTGTAAGTATGAGGAATGCAAATGGGGTGCTAGTCATTCTTAATTTGAGATATGTTAAAGATAAAATTTTTCTTTTTAAGAAATGTGCTCTTTTTAACTTATAAGTGGAGATTATGAGTGGCAATTCTACAAATTCTGTAATTTTGATATGGTTTATTTGTGTCATAATGCCTTCTGTTTCTCAAAAGTCAGAAAAAAAAGTATCATCAATATCCTAAAATCTCTGAACTCTTACATATCTTAGCTGCTCAGCTATTTGAATTTGAATTAGTGATAGATCAAATTAAAATAGAACACATTAAAAATTTAACCTGGTTTTTGTGTTAGGTTATAATGAATGTTATATTAACTAGAATTTTTCTTTTCCCCTAAGATAAATAAAAATACAGGGTATTATTGTAACCCAGCTGTCATCAAGGTCAGCTGTCCTTATATTTGACTTTAATATTGTATGATATGGGTGATTACTTTGATAAACAGTCAAGTTTTGATATCCCTTCTGTGCCTTTTAACAAGACTAATCAGCAGCATCCTGCTTTACTAAGGATCATGATCATTAAACACGGCCCTTTAAACTCTCCTCTGCAATCTAGCTGTCATTTATTTGGTTTTCTTTCACTTGCGGATACAACCTAGCATTTCTCCATGTTTTGGAAGTGTGTTGAACAAAATTTTATATAATTTTTTTAATGGGACATATTCAGGCATAAAAGGAAAGTTGTCAATTTTGCTTCGTGTACCTCACTTAATGTTTGTTGAACTTTATCTCAGTCCCACGATGCTCAAATTTGAATTGGGTTCAGATGTAGTCAACTCTCCAGACAAACAAAGCCAGATGTAGTCAGCGCCTGCTCCTAACTTAAAAAAGCATCACACTGATATGTCCCTTAACATATTAGACTTGTCTGTTTCTCTAAATTAAGTTGTTGGGAAAAAATTAACTTTTATCAACATATTTGTAGGCAAACTGAATTTTTTTTTCTTCACAGAAGAGTTTTAGTGTTTTTTTGCCCTCTAAAATAGTCATTATTATAGTATGCTTAGCTGTTATTTAATAGCTATCTAGAACAGAAACAGAAACAAAATGATTTGTAATTGCTTACTGAGATCGAGTAGTTGGTAACATTACACTTTCTATATTTAATCCAAAAAAGTATTTACCAACATTGTACAGTCATGATTTTAATTTCGTATTGGATAAGAGTTGGTTTAGCATTGCAAGATGGCATTAACTGTAATTTTTATTATTTTAAATCTAATGATAGAACCTGATATTTATAGATCATGCTGTGTTTTGTAGCTTGATTTGAAGTAAATAAAACAGATTTGTGACATCTTCTAATTAAACTGTGGTGTGTGTGTGTGTGTGTGTGTGTGTGTGTGTGTGTGTGTGTGTGTTAATGTTATAGTGTAAGGACAGAGGATAGAAAACTGAAGAGATGGGAATACCATGAACTGTTTGAGTAACTTTTGTGGGAAAATTGTGGGATTTAATTCCATGTTTTCCTACTTGTATAAAATCATAGTTAACTGTTCTTTAGATGAAAGAAGTAATATGGAAGACCAGTAATTTTTTAAATTTACATTTAAAACATGTAGTGAGAGTATTGAAAATGATTGCTTGGTGTTTGAGTCCATATACAATACATATTTCTTCTATGAAAATGATTTCTAGATATTAAATATCATAAATAACTTATTTATAGATACAGTGGTAGAGTTGTTCTTGATGTTATATCAAAATGTATGTGTGCATATAGAAGAATTTTAATAATCAAATTCAGTTAATCTCTGTCCTTTGGTAATAAAGTTTCTGTTTATCATCCAGCTATCTTTATCCTGATGGGAGGAGTTATAATCCTGATCTGACAGGATTATGTGAACCTACACCCCATGATCACATAAAAGTTACACAGGTAAAAAAAAAACTTCTGCAAACATTTATAGTTAATAAGTAACTAGAATGCCTTTGAAATTATTAAGATTCTCTACCTGAACTGTAGCTAAATTCATACATAGTTATTTAATGCAAAAGATAATTAGAAATTCTGTGTGGGAAGAAATTACTTCACATTTGAGATAAAAATTTCTGCTTTTAATGTTCTTGCTTTTGACATAATATTGTTATTTGTATGTGGAGATAGATAAATCCATAGGTAAGCAGATAAATATGAGGAAGAGAGTTACAGGCTTAGGAATCTCCAAAAATGGTTAGAATAATTTTTTACATTAGCTTTTAGGGTAAAATGAATAATTGAAGCTTATTAAAGATAATAACTGTATTTTTATAAATCCATTCTTGGTAACCTTCATAGATTGAGTTGAGTATAATTTGGTAAAGCCTTTTTTGAGAGTAGTATTAATTATCAAAATAAGAACCTATTTTGACTTTAAATTTATAAATCCCTAATGAATATATAGAGATTTGTCCACTAGGATATTTACGTTTTCATTTTTCATAAAAGTAAAAAAAAAAAAAAACTTCATCATGTGTACTTCATCACTAATAAACCTTAGTGGATTCTCATACCATACTGTAAATTGATTGAAGCTTCATTATGTGAAACTTGACAGTTGTGATGTTTCATTTTGTACTGTTTCATTATGTGAGTTCAAGAATCAGTATCATGTATGAAGATAATGAATATACATTTAAAAATAAAAGAACATTAACCAATATTTAGCTGAGGACATGAAGAGGTTCGAGGGTGTCAGGGACAGGATGACAATAGGATCTTGAATATTATATTTTACGTATTATCTTGTTTTAAATAACACAGTATAACTTGTGCTTTTGTGTGCTAACTAATAAAAATAACAAAAGCAGTAGTTTTGTGGGAAGGACACCCGGTAATTTTTTTACTTCATTTCTCATTTTGAATATTTTAATAAAATACTTAGTTCCAGTGGTATTGATATTGTGTGAAGCACACTTACTGGCTTGCATAGTTTGTAGCAGATTTTCAATTTAATGCAAGGTTGCCATTTTCTAAATGATGTGGTGGTTATATGTTTTTTTAATATATGTAAAAGTGTACTCAGAAGAGACAGTCCTTTACAAAAGCCTCTGTTGAAGTGTTCAGGAGTTACATCATTCCCTAAATATTTCATTAGTATTTGAATATCGTACCCCTTAGGTTGCCTTGAGTTCTGCACTGGTAGCTTTAGCTTATAATCTTTATATAACAACAAATTGGTCCTTTGCCATCACCAATGTAAATACTTATCTATTATTTTAGGTATATTAGTGATTTATGACTTATTTTGGGTTACTTGAGATTTGTTTTTTGGCCAGCTTGGCCCACTCCCTCTTGTCCTTTTCTAAATGTTACTAGAAAACTACTTATAGAGTAATAATATGCACCATGATAGACACAATCTACATAGATGTACTAAGGTGTTTATATGCATCTATGTATAGTATGCATTTTTCACATCAATATTATAAGAATCTTTTATCATGTGTGGGACCAAATACTAGTTATCCTACCCATGGCCAGGTACATAACAGGCATTTAAATAAATCAATCTTTGTTATTATTTAAATAAAAAATCTTTGTTTGCATGATACCTTTTCATTGTATCCCTATTGAACCACACATTTTTTTTGTATTTCTTTTACACTGACCAGTATATCTGTACCTTCTCTGACATAGACCTTTCTAGTTTTTGACCATTGAAGGTTTTATTATGCCAAAATATTCTAACTGAATCAGTCAAGAGAAGAAATGTTTCATAAATTTTTTAGTTGCTGAAGTGATTAGTTTTCTTGACAGCACTAGATTAGAATAAGGGTATGCAGTTTAGATTTGAAGATTCATTACAGAATTTGAGGGAAACAATTTAATTTTAAAAATTCATTATGTCTTATGCCTTGGAGATTATTTAAAATAATAAATGTGGACCATAGTGTCTGGTAGCAGAAAGAGAAGATGCTGCTATTCTTCTACTATGAAATATCTGATAATCTCAGAAATAAAGTTTAATGATCAGCCAGAACCATATACATATTTTGCAATTTGAATGTAAAATTACATATATCTATGGTACAGTTAATATATGCCATCCTTTTAAACTGGATGGTTTGTCTTTATATTAGTTTATTTTTACATCATTTTGTACATTTTTTTTTCATCTCAATTGTAATCCCTGTGGGCTTCCCATCACCAAGTCATCCATGTGCCATCACCATAGTCCAATGCATTTCCATCCCCACGCTGTTTCTGATTCCATTCCCTACTCCACGCCCATAAAATGTCTCTGGTATATATATAGCTGTTCATTATTATTATTATTTTCTCGCCTGGTCCATTATACTCCTGCTATGAATGATGGATGGTTTGTGTTTTGATTCCCTGTGACTATTAAGCAAATCCCTTGCTAAGAGAACAGTATGCACATTAAATTATTTGCAGCCTGATAAAATCTCAAATCTCCTTAAAAATGACAGTGTAGACTAAATTGTGATGATCAGTTTATCACCTGTCTTAAATGATTAGCATTATCCTCACAGAATCAAGTGTGATGTGTTTACTGTAAGCCGTTGTATTTAAGAAAATTCTACACTAGTGTTCATGCTAGAAATACATTAACTTTTTCTTCCCTCCTACATCCCAGGAACAGTATGAACTGTATTGTGAGATGGGCTCCACATTTCAGCTCTGCAAAATTTGTGCTGAGAACGACAAAGATGTCAAGATTGAGCCTTGTGGGCATTTGATGTGCACCTCTTGCCTTACAGCTTGGCAGGTACTACCCCAGTTGAATTAGCAGCAAAGGTGTCTTCCTCAGAGGCCACATTGATATTGTATACTTTCAGTTCTCTTCATCTTAATGACTCAAAGTAATATACAAAGCACACATTTCTTAAATGATTTGTCAATTTACGTGTTTGAATTTCTTTTCTAGAATTAGATTTTTTGGCTGTGTTTTGTTTTGGTTCTTTTCCATGTGTAACGATTTTATGGTGTTAATCATAAGTGGTTTTGTAACACCAATTATTGCAGGATGTCACTTATCCATATTGCCCACTACCCACTTACGCACTTTACTTTAGATCTGATTCTCTTTACAGTAGGTCAGATTCTGAAGCAAAGTAAACCCTACCACCTAAGTCTTATATTGAGATTTTCAACCCACTCTTTTCTCAGGAGGAGGAATGGGTCTTCAGTTGCTCTGTAAAGCTAACTAGGAGATTCTGACAGGAAGAATCTCCTCAACACTTAGTTACCACAGAAACAGGCATTACATTTTATAATTTACAGAAGCAGAATCTAAGACAAACTGCTTTCCCTCTGTAGGCAGGCATTCAATAAATAAATATTGATTTGCTGTTTTAGCATAAAACCTAAAAAGTAACTAGTTTTCCCAAGGCTTGCTTTTTTTTTTTTTTTTAATATAAAGGTTGGGGAATTTAAAACGAACCTTTGGACAGATTTCCAGTTTCAAATATTTGGTAGATTTATGAAGTATTCTCATCAATCCATTTTTTACTGCTTTTCATTACAATCAGTACAAAAGTCAGTGTTGGTAGGGTTTAGAAAGCAGATAATTAAAATTTTAAGATAATTAAATTTGCAGTTGTGCTGTTCTCACCCTGTCCTGGGCTCTCCCACTCCTAATCTCTCTAAACAGAGAACTGCCTGAGGAGGAAGGCAAGAGAGGCTCACGAAAAGGAAAAGCAGACTCAGGCATGGAAGCCTATTGAATAATTACTTGGTAATAAAATATAATGCTTTCAAAAATACATATGACTTTCACATTTTTACAAATTTATAAAAAGCATTATTTTTACTTTAGGAAGATTTAAGAAGTAGGTGAAGAAAAAGAACTCAGAAATGAATTATTACTGGTTTATATTTCTAAAGCCATTTGTATTTTAAATATATATTTATGCATATAAGATTTGGGGTGTAGGCCACAGGTGCAGGGGTTGAGAGGATTCACAGAGATAGTAGGGAGCAGAAGAGGCAGATGTACTGAAATACACTGCTGAGGGGAGCAGCAGGCAGGTCAGGAGAGGTCTGCTGTGCCATGTGGGCCACTTCTCTGGCCAGGGATCGAGTTCATGCTGCAGTGGCTGTGGATAGCTTGATTGTGCTGTGTCTTTAAACCCTGTGTCACCAGGAAGGCCCCTCTAATGCCATTTCTATAGACTCCCAGACACTTTTGCTATCTCAGGAAAATGTGTTCACCTTCCCTACATTTCTTTCCTTCAATATGCATTTGGTTTGTATTTTACTTTTGATTTACCTTCATGTATTTGCCCTAATTACCTTTCATCGTCTCATGATGTTGGGGAATTTTGTATATTACCAGGAGACTAGAGGAAGAAGGATGATGATGATGGCATTAGCAAAGTCGTCTATTCACACCTGATTGCTTTCTAGGTTGTCTTAAGAAAAGCTTCGTTCTTTGACTCTGTGCCAGGCGGACTGGCACAGGACTACTTTAGGATGATTTGCTTTGCTGATAAGCTTTTTCAGAATTTTAAAGTGTCAAAGAGGCCTGTTTTGCTTGTCACTCATTTGGACTATTTCTTCAGTGTGGTGGTAAGATTCTCACCAGTATAAAGTAGCTAAACACTTTACATTTCTCATGAAAGAAAACCAGAATTCCAGGCTGGTACAAGCCCATGGTACTCTGCGTCCCTGTAGGGGCTGTGCATCTGTCTTTTCTCTTGAGACCAAGAGCTCAAAGCCTATAGCTGTAGGTATTGCAGGACTTGGTATCTTTAACTTGCTGTTCTGCATATTTAGAAGTTAAATGGGTTAAGAGTCAGAAGTTGCCAATGTTGGGTAGAAACCTTTGAATCTAAAGATTATTTACAATATCATACAAACTACCTCATTGCTCAGGGTATGCAAAAGAAATGGTTGAATAACAAAAACTAAATTAATATCTGTTCTTATTGAAAGAGATTGACCTTTTTAAATTTGGGCCAATAATATCTCCACAACTTTTGTATATATTATTGTGTGTGCATTTTCTGGATGATGCTGTTCCTCTTGCTGGTAGTTAATCAGTTCCTTTATTTACTTCATGATTTCGTACGTAGGTTTAATGGACTTATATCCAGTCATAAATATAAATGTTAACATTTGCTAATTTCCTTTATAATCTTTATTCTGAAGTACTTCTGTTTACATTTAGACATTGGGGAAGGTACCATAAACTGCACTGACAAGCTTTTGAGTAAAATTTTTATGAGACGCTATGGAGAAAATATTAATAAAATAGTTACAAAAAGGTAGTAAATGAAAAGCTCAAAAAGTACCCACAAGCTGGAAATAATCAAATAAAATCCTACTCATGTCATTAATGAGTATTATTTTTCTAATTAATCAGAGTTTTTGGATATAGCTTAATGAAAACTATGCAAAGTTATTATTACATTTTTTTATTTCTCCCCACACAAAGGCTCATGATTAATGTTCTTTTGATATATGTTGTATATGTTCTTACAACACCCTACCCCCTCTTTGTATTCAAATTGTAAACATTTACACATTTACCTATTTCTCCTTCAATGTGGATTGTTTTATCTGTTTTACAGATCCTCCACCAAGCATCCTATCTGTATATTGATAGACATTTAATAATTATAAATTTTATGCAAAATAATATAAAGGAAAAAGAAAAGAACTGAGATTACCTTAAATCAAGACTGAAATTATATGTGAAAGCCCTTATAAGTGCGTTAGTTGTGTTCAGTTCTCTCACATACCTGTGATCCTTTCAAAGATCACTTATGTTCAAAATCTGATAACGAATCTTAAAATTTGAACCCTCAGGTACATTTTCTGTTCAATAGCTGCTGGATGATTCCCTTAACCTTTTCACATTTTGATATTTTCCCATGTTTTCTAACCTCATCTTTGCACTTTTGCTGTTTGCACTATTATTGGCACTAACTTAGAGGCAGTTAGACCCAGTTCAATATAAGGCTTTTTTACATCAAGAACCATACAGGATGACCACTGGTTCAAATTTTCTCTACACTAGAAAAAAACTGTTTTTAGAATATGATTTGAGAATTCCAAGTTATACCCCGTAATGTCTGTATCTCAGTAGAATTTTTGTGGTTAAAGAAATTTCAAGATTCGATCATGACTTTTGGAAAACCTGAATATTTCCAAATTACAGACAGACTTCTTACTATGGTATTTCCTGCCAACTAACAGATCTGTTTAATCAGCTTTGATGTTATTGTGTAAACAGCAATGTTTGACAATCATTTAGCCATGTTACTGAAAACACTTTTGTGATGTAATACAAGTCATGTAAAATAAATCCATTTAAAACTCTGTTGACAAATATTAGAAACCTAAGTTTTACATTATAGCTTCAATGAGCTTACCCTAACTGATAATGCAGATGAGAGCAAAAAGAATCATTGAAAATTTTCCTGACTGCATTATATTTTCAAATACTATGTCTAAATGTATAAATGTAATGAAGAATGCTATGTGAATATTAACTCTACAGCTGGAGATGTGATACATGTCTCCCTTCAGGTATTTGTTATTCAGAAGAGTACAGAGCTAATGTCCCAATTTTTCTCATTTTGAATTCATTATCTTTGTTTTATATGATTGTTTTCTTCTATTTAGAGAAGCTAAGTTTTCAGACTTAATATTGCACAGGGAAATTTATTTTGTTTCCCCTTATTGCCCTGGTAGAGGCAGACATGGAATTTATCATCTTTCATTTCCAAGATCTCAAATTTATTCATTTATTTATTTAGGAATCAGTCCTTGAACTTCTTCTATTTCCCGAGTTCTGTACTAATCTGGGCTTAAAATGCTCAGAAACAATCAAAAGGTCAAAATTATATCTGAAGTTTTATGGAGGGACGTGAGATTACCAATTACTTGAAATGAACATTGTGTTATCCTTTAGATTTAATTATGGGTGCCAGACATTTTTTGTTAACTTTCAAGTACTTTTGGTTGGCATATTGATATTAAAGGCTGCGTGTCTGCCAAGAAGCTGATTAATCAGTCAAGAGTCCAATAGGAAATATTAAACTCTGATCATAAAACATAATGTGTTCAGCCAATGTGCATTTTTAGCAAGTCTTTTTTCAGTGACTTTTCCTTCCATTTGATGGCCTTCTTTGGTTTAATTAAAATTCATCAGAGACTTGAATTTTACGTAATTAACAGAAACCTGAAAAAATGCAAGGGAGCAATGTCAGCTAGTTGTTAGTGGCTGCAAGTGGTTACTCTGTAATTGCTGTCATAATGGCCCATTAGTCAAGGCTCCACGAGGTGTCAAATATTTTTTTTCTCTTTCTGAGACATCTTTGTTATTTAATAAATTGAATAAGCAAGGCAGAGTTTACAGCGAATGCTAAACAAGTTGAATAGTACCTCTCCTGAGACATTCTTTGAAGCAGTATCACTCTGGGTGTGGTATTTCTGTTCTACCCTTGGCAATAAAACTTGGAGCATTTTCTCCCTCTTCCATGCTATCCTGCAGATATTAACGAACATTTCCTTCACTCTGAATTCCTTCTCTTCTTTTTGTAGTTAGCATATTATACAGCTGTGTTTCTGCAGGGTTATCGCTAAGGTGTGAGAAATGTTTTACTTCTGTTATTTGGGGCTTTTTTTTCTTTTCAGAAATCCAGAAAATGGCTTGAGTTTATTAATGGCACAAACACTAAACTGTGTTCCTCAATTCTTTCTTCCAAAATAAAATGGATACACATATGTCATTAGATATGCAGTTTAGTTTTGAATTATGCAGAGAACTTTAAATAAATTAAAAGTAATGTTTTCCTGTATTTACTCCCTCTACATATTTTTTCAAAATAATTTAAAAGAAATGTCAGTGTTCAAAATAGTATTTCACACTAAATAAACAGATGTTTTTCATGATAGTGATTAAATATTTATGTGACCTGTATGGGGAGGGGGATGTATGGTTGTCTGAGAGATGAGAAGCAACATCATATGATGACATCAGGCACTCTAAGTTCACTTTTACTGGACCTTCCCTCCAGAGCAGCCAACCTTCATGTGTCTAGCCTTTAGAAAATTTTGTAAGCGTACAACTACAAAGAAAATACTTGTTTTAAAGGATATTATAAAATACTATTCCTTCTCTGACAGTTTTTAACCTTTTCATATAAACTTGAAGCTCCTCTTTCACATCGTATGTAGGGACTGCTGGCATTTTCCCACAATGCTTCATGATGTCAGAGCTGAGGTGATGACTGTAGGAATGAGAGGCAGGACAGGTGTGCGAAAATGCTGCCAGGTAGAGCACATGCAGCAGTCTGTGTAGTGACTGAAATAGTGGCAGCTCTCTCTGCTGTGATAACCCAAAAGATGGCAGATTTTGGCTCAGGAAACACTTCTTACTGGCTTTAACCAGCAGCATTTAATAGGTATCTTAAAAGTTGACTCCACTGAATAAAACCGCTCCAGAGAGCAAGCTCACAAGCTTCATATGCTAAAAATTTAAGTTGGACTCCAGCAACAAATGATTTTTATAGAAGTTCTTAATATGTGAAAAATAGGTAGACTGTAAAAATTAGGGAAAGTTTAGAATCTTCATATGAAAAAATGAAAATTTTCAGTCAAGAGCAAATAGAATATTCACTTACAGTAGTTTCTTTAATGTTGAAAATTACAATTTGAACAAAATAGTTTTTGCCCATTTTCAGATGATCCAGTAATAGGTATTTTCAAGCTTTATTTTGATTGAGGGTAGGATTCTGACTTGAAGAATTACATCCTGATAATAGTGTAGTGAGCATGGAGAGATGAAAAGACTGGGTTCCTGAAAGAGAGCTCCTGCATCTGATTTCTTATACAGTACTGCTTGGCCATGTGGTCGCCATCAAGTTATGTAAACTCACAATTTTCCTATTGAAAAATGGACATAATAATTATACCTACATCATAAAGGTTAAATGAGTTAATGTAGAGATAATGCATATTACACTCTCTAGAATTCTAATTGTTCCTAATATAGTAACTGATAGAATCATCTTTGTGATTATTAATGTATATACACTAATTGTGTAGTTTTATGGTCATTTATTTTATTAGAATGTGGAATTATTTTTTCAGATGTTAAGATCTGTTTCCTTATTTATTTTTTGTCTTTGAGACTGTTTTATGGTAATAATACTAACTAGAATCTATATATAACACCTTGGAAAATTCGCAGTAATTTACCTCACTTTATTTTTAAAATGTACCTTAAAATGTGCATTCTTATTCCCTACAAGGGAAGTGGTTCACTTCTTCAGTGTCACATCACTGTAAACGGGAGTAGGAGTCCAATCCAAGTGTCCTGACTCAAACTGTGTGTCATCCTTTTCTGATCACTGCTTATATTTTCCTGTACTTCCCAGGTTAAAACTAGGAAAGTCTAGGTTCCTCAACGTTGTCTTTGCTTGCCCATACAAAAGAGCACCAAACCAAAGTCTCTTCCATTCTGGATTATTTAGTATTACTATTAACTAACTATCACCATACATTTCATTCATTCTTTTAGCAAAAAGATAGCTTCTGTGGTAAATATTGTGCTCTGAAATTACTTATCAGAACCCAAACTACTTTCAGTTTGTATGATTTATTTTTCTATCCAGTTATTTATAGTTGTTCATTGTTAAAAATAAATATTGAAAATTTATGTGAAGGGTATAGCAAGGTGATTTAAATTAGAACTTACTGAGATGGAAAACACACACATATACTATAAAATGCACTTGAAAATGAGACTCTTGAAATCCTATGTATTCTCTTAAGCATTCCATGTATATTGTATATATAGGAAGATATGAGTGATTGGCCTTCCAAGTATGCCCTTGAATAATCAATCATCTTGAGAGCAAATGAATTGTACTATAACATTTGCCTTTAAATAATTAAAATATATGTTTGAGATACTGTCCACCTGAATATTTAAACAGGAGGACTATGGATGGTGACCTATCTAATGTTAATGGTGATGACATTGACATCATACTGATAACATTTATTTGGATTTTTACATGGGATTTTTGGGAGATTGGGCAATCTGTTTTTGAGAAAAATTCTATTTTTCTCAGCTTAACATATTTATGATCACTAACTTAAAGCATTAATAATTTAACATATTTGACTATGAGCATACTAAATAGTTAAGTGTTCAAATGAGTGTAATCCTCATTTGTTTTGAAATGTCTCTCATTTGAGGAAGTGAAATCTGAGTCATTTAGAATGGATGGAGTCCCAAATACTTCCTCCTAGCAGTCAAAGAATGTGAATATGTTGGGGACTAGGAAGTTATTTGTCTTTCTCTTTCATTAGCATGTACTCCTTGATCTTCTATTAACTGAGTGTTGACAAACATTATTTTAATTATGGAGCCACAGTCCTGATGAGTGTGTGTTGTTGTAGACCTTCTTCAGATGTAGTCAGTCAGCCATCTGACAGACGGTAGAACAGAGCATCAAAGTGGCATTTGAGAATTTATGGTTAAGTTTAATTTGCTTATGATATAGTCATCTTATAAAAATTGATGGATGAAAATCATAGTAAATACTATAAAGGAGAAACATTCAGAGTGATCTGTTTATGAATCAAATTGGGTGTGCATTGCAGCTTATTTTTTTAATCAATGAGTAACTGTTCCTGAGATGAGAGTAAGAGTGTTAATTCCACTGCTAACCAGCTAATCACTGTACGGCCTCATGATGCCTAGCTTCCCATCATTTCAAATGGATGGAACAAACCAGAATTATGTATTCAAGTTTTTCTTTAAAATGTTACCTTTTCTCATTATGCTAACTATCCCATTTCTGCTTTAAAATGATTTTTGGATGTTTTTGCAGTAACATTGGTTTACAACTCTGTATTTGAGTCAAAGATATAAGATCTCACCTTTTCAGATAAGTATTTTTTAAATAACATACTACTAAAGTCAAGGTATAATGCAAAACAAACAACAAAACATGCATGGCACATGTCACCTGTCTGTGAAAGGCATCATTATCAGCAAGGCATGAAAACATTTTTGTCCTGTTTTCCTAGCAGTGTGAATTGTTACTGCAGTTAGTTTTGAGAAATAAAATTGAGACTTTGAACAAAACTTTCAGTAAGTCAGTAAATGAATTTATGATCCAAAGCATTTGCATTAATATTTCTATAATATTTCCTTTGAAGACAGTATGAATGTGGGACCTCCCTGGTGTCAACCACTGAGCACAGGTTCGATCCCCAGCCAGGGATGTGATGAAGTGGGCCTCTCCTGACACACCTGCTGCTCCCCTCAGCAGTGTATTCCAGTGTATCTGCCTGTTCGGTACCCCACTCTGTCTCTGATGAGTCCTCTCACCCCACTCACCTCTGGCCTGTACCCAAGTTCTTGTATGCATAAATGAGTAATTCTAAAGAAGGAAAACAATATGAATGCTAAAACATTCTCATGTGGTATTAACATGGAAGAGAGTGGTGTCCAGATGGACAGGGTTTTAAGACAGTTGATGGTTCCTGAGTATAAATTTGTTATTTTTTCCTGTTGGTTTATTTGTCAAGTTATTTTAAAAAACTAGGAGTCTAAAATGGAAACATTTAGACATAACTATATGTATATATACACCTACACACATTGCATGTATAACACACACACTCTCTTATTT